GTTTCGAAAAAAAAAAAAAATAAAAAAAATAAAAAATAAAACAAACAAATTCTACATACTGTCAATTTAAATTTCTCGCCAATCTCTGCTTTATATATACTTATCACACGCTATAAATTCTATAATTATATCACGATATTTTTACGTTTGATGATGTGTTCTTGCATTTGTCAATTAATAGAACAGTAATTTTATTTTGACTAAACAATGGCAAGCTGTATAATGTGTTTCATTAATTTCCTATGTACTTCATCTTATTTTCTAGGATGTTTCCTATTTCCACAAAGGGGTTGCATGCATCTAAGTCCACAAATTCTTCAACACGAGGTTGAAAGATTCAATTAATTTCCAGTTGTGTCCGTTAGTGTGCATGATTGTTGTATTCTTTTAAGATGCACTAGTAAAAAAAAACACTTTTTACATCGTTTGTTTACAACGATTTTTTTAAAATCAATTCAAAAAACACTTTTCACATCAGGTGTGACATCTGTTATTACAAAACTGATGTGAATTGTCATCGGGCGCATCGATTCTTACAAAACCGATGTGAACAATTTGGTAGACAATATTTTTTATATCGATTCTATGTACAACCGATGTTAAAAATATAATATACAACATCGGTTTAGGAAAACCGATAGGAGTGGTTGGGGGTAGTGTCCTCATAACGTCGGTTATTAAATAACTGATGCGGTAGTGGTGATTTTAACACATCGATTTAAAAAAGGGTTTTAACCGATGTGAATATGATTTTTAACCGATGGAAAAAGTGTTTTTTCCACTAGTTGTTTTGAATTATTTCCCTTTTTTGTATTTGAAATTTAAATATTGAGTTTCAACTAATATCTGAAATATGGTCTCAATTTAAAAAACAGCTTCGCTTTTTATATTTTTTTTATTATTTTTTCTCTCTTGTTTATTCAATATATATCAACATCCAATCTCATACCCAATAAAGAAACAAAATATATTATTACGGCATATACTGAAAGAATATTATTATATACGATCAATCTCCACCAGTAGACTTCTTTTTCAGTACAAGTATGTAAGTAAAACTTGTCATACTTATCAAAGAATAAAATTTAACACAATTCGATTATAATTTTTTTTTTTTTTTAATTAGGTTGTTATAATGTGTTTTTTAATGGAATGGCCCCAATAACAGTAATTTTAGGCGTTTATTAATTAACAAACGACAGTAGCTCTTTTGTAGTTGTGATATCCCTTCCTTTTATATATAATTTCAGAACGCGCTAATCTTATGTGGCAGCTTCACAAGCTTCATAATCTTACATGACAAAATATTATGCTTTTTAATATGGTTTGGAAAAAAATTACAAATTTTTTATACCAAAATACTTAGGTTCGGATTGTCATATATATATATATATATATATATGGATTGGTTCAAATAAAAACTAAGTCTGGTGTGAGAACCGTGAGAACCATATTTGATGCTATTTTTAATTGTGTATGATACTATTTTTAATATTGCATGGTGCTATCATTTTCACAAATGCTAATAAAAAATTTCTTGCTATTTTTAATAAAATACATCATAGTTAAAAATAGCACTAAAACACAAGTAAGCATAGCACTATATACAATTAAAAATAGCAGTTCTCACGGTTCTCACACTAAGACTTGGTACACACATATTTAATATATTTAAATTATTTCATATAAATCTATTTATTATTATCTTTCAATAATGTGCATTCAATTCTACTTTCTATTTTTTTTTTCATATTATTCTCTTATGTGTTTTAAATAAAAATATTATAAATAAAATTAATGTTGTGTATAAATTAATTTTCAGAATTTAAAATAATATTGTTAATTTACTTGTTATTTATTATTAAGTATTGTATATTGTTCTTTATTTAATTTTCCAACTTCAACAAATATATAATTTTTTTCATTTTTATTGTACATTTAATTATTTTATCAACCACCCATGTAGTACACGAGTATTGTACTAGTACATATTATAATACAAATATATATATATATATACATATATAAAGAGAACCTATTTACCAAGAATAGTAACAAAAAATTCAACCAGCATTTATTGCATAATATTTTTGGATATTTTTTAATTTTGTTTTTAAATTATTTCCAAAAAAATTGATCAGCTATATATGCACACTAAATTTGTGGGTTTTGTGGATTTGATTTAGGTAAATTTTGACTGATGTTAACAATTTTGCAAAAATCAAAATTCATTCTCATTTTTTATTTAACAAAAAAAAACAGATTACCATAAAATTGGGAATTACTATCAAATATATTTTTTTCTAATTGCAACAGATCAGTTATTTATTAAAAAAAATCAGATTGCATACAAATCGGGTTAATTTAGGTAAAATTCGGCATGACAATTTTGTAAAAGTCAAATTCTCTCATTTTTTATTAAAAAATTTTGTTTACAATAAAATCGGGAAATTCGAATTAGGAAAAATACTATAACAAGTATCTTTACCTAATTGCAACAACTCATGTTTATTTTAAAAAAATATCGAATTTCATAGAAATCGGGCCTAATATCAAATTAAAAAGTAAAATTTAAAAATATCTTATCATTTGGCTACTACTTTCTTTAGGTCGCATTTGTTTTTTAAAAATAAAACAGAGTCAGATAATATTAATTTGAAATTCAAAATAAAGTTGAATTGGAACATCCTAAAAATTTGGGTTTTAATCAATCCTTCAGAATACAAAATTGAAACTGATTGCATACACTTACACTTTTTTTCCTTAGTTAAATAAGGTGATTTACAATTTTAAAATAATAAAGTTATAGATAATAAGAAAGACGTTTTACAATCTCCATCATATTTAGCTATGCAATCTTCATAAAAGTTGTATAAATCATATCATTTATATCATGCTAAATAATTTAACTGATTTATTTATGTTTATCTTGAACCCTAATATAATTTGTGGTGATAGACAATGTACCAAGAAACCAAACAAATAATGTTTTGTACAATGATATGTTTAATAATATATAAGTTATATTTTGTTTTATCTAATACATGTGTTTTACGTTCTTCCAATCATCTAGTCGTTCAAATCTAAATATTTACCTTAATAAAACTAGTTTATCATGTAATAATAAATGCCTTATATTAATATACATAGTTTTTATCCTATACTAAACCGCCTCAAATTGACTTTCCTGCACTGGTATATCTCTGTATTTAATTTCCACATTCAATTATTAATTCAATAAGATGCTGGGTATTCATCTGATTAATACATAATATATACTAAATATAAATTTGAAAAATGAAAACTTAAATGATATATATCATGTATTAATGGTGTTACCTAATAAAAATTTTATTTAACAAAAAAAAAAAGAAAAAATCTAGTTTATATATGTGTTGCTTTGTCCTTTAAGTAGTTCAATAGACAGTTAAAAATGGATCAATGTACGTAATGACCTTTTCTTTTTACATATAATAGAAACTTTACATAAAGTAATGAATAATATTAATGTTACTTTGTAAAAATATTACTCGTTAGATGATGAAACATGTAAATACGTTCAATAGATTAACCGAGAAATCTTATGGCGCGCTTGTTTATTAAATAATCCGTTCACAATAAGTTTTTTTTTTTTTTTTTCTTGGTTAAACTAAAGATAATTTTGTAAAAGGTGGTATGATTAGTAGTTAGTGGGATATTAAGAATGTATTAAAATAATATTTTAAAATATAAAAATTAAAATTAATTTGACGTAAAGTATGAGATAAATAATTGGAAATGCTATGTAGTTAAAATTATGTGAGTGGATGGATAGTGAATTAAAGTTGATGGATGTATTAGAATGAGTAATTGATTTATATTATTTAAATATATGAATATTATTGAGGATAGTGTAAATTGTGTTAAAGTTGAGTTAGATTTTGAGTATTAATTAAATGTGAGTAAATTAATTTGTAAACAATCATCTCATATCTTATCACTAAATACAAATATTAAAAAAGGAAAAAATAAAAATAAAATGTCACTCTTTTCTATTCTAATAATTTCCCATGCAACCCTTAAACTAGCCTATAAATACACGAAACCCCCAAAACCACGTACAATAAACATAACAACCCACAAATGGCACCACCTACCAAATCCCACAAGATTGGCATCATTGGCTGTGGCATTAGCGGCATAGCCGCCGCCAAGCAGCTTTCGGAACACGAGCCCGTCGTTTTTGAGGCCACCGACTCCATCGGAGGGGTTTGGAGGCACTGTTCATACACCTCAACCAAACTGCAAACCCCTCGCTGTGACTTTGAGTTCTCCGATTTTCCTTGGAGTACTCAAACAGACTATGCAACTGATTTTCCTTCTTATCAAGAAATATTGGACTATTTGTATTCGTATGCCACGTACTTTGACGTTTTGAGATTCGTCAAGTTCAACTCAAAGGTAGTCGAACTTCGCTACATAGGCGAACCTGAAAATTCGGGCGAATATGGGAATTTTTCCCTCGGCCATCCCGTGTGGGAAGTAGGAGTTAAGACCACCCAATCTCAAAACATTCAGGTTAATGTTGATCCTTTTTTTTTTCTCTTTCTTTTCATTTTAATCTTTAATTCCAATAAAAATATTGTAATATGAACAATATTAAGGAAAGACATGCATGAGACATCACGTCCCATTTTATGTGTTTGACCATTGGTTAAAATTACAATAAAAATAAATCTATAGTTAAAATTATGTTATGCCAACTAAATATTACTTGATTGTACATGATATGGCGAAGTGGTACGAATTCGAGTTTCTGGTGATCTGTACCGGAAAGTATGGGGATGTGGCGGCAATACCGAAATTCCCAGAAAACAAAGGCCCTGAAATATTTGAAGGTAAAGTTCTCCACACTATCGACTACTGTAAGCTCAACCAGGATGAGTCGACTCAGTTGCTGAAAGATAAGAAGGTTGTCGTAGTTGGCTACAAGAAATCGGCTATAGATTTGGCGGTCGAATGTGCTGAAGCAAACCAAGGTATTTCTAGTTTAATTATCTTTTGTATTCATTGATACATTACCCACATTTTTAATTGCCATGTTTGATTGAGTTCTTCTCCCATTTAAACTTGTTCATGTTTACCTAAGTCAAAATAAAATTAAAAAATAAAATAAAATGTGTAAGCCTTTAACACAATTAGTCAATTTGGTTAGTCAAGAAAAGACATGTAGTTTAAAAAATTCTCATTTGACTCGTAGTACGTCTAAGTTTCATAATCATATCGCACGTGCTGGCTAAAATTAAGAACATAAACAAACAAAGATAAGGTAATTAGACAGGTCCTATAACAACATAATCACTCCCTATATATTAATGTAAAACATGTTGAGTCAATGTGACAGATTCTCACGCTTCAGATGCTGACATGGCGAAAATTTATGCTTCGTGATGTTTTTTTTATATTATTTTTGCTCTGGAGTTAGGTTTGGTATTAAACATAAATAATTTTACACATATATTCATTAACTCAACACCCATGTTGTACATGGGTATTAGTACTAGTTCTAATTTTATTTCTGATTGATACATACATATATATAGGAGGCGAAGGGCAAGCTTGCACCATGGTTGTGAGGACTTTACATTGGACGGTCCCACATTACTCGATTTGGGGTTTGCCATTTTACTTGTTCTATTCCACGAGGGCTTCTCAATTCATATACGATCGCCCAAACCAGAACTCGCTACGATCTCTCCTCTGCCTCATCCTTTCTCCCATGGTAATTATGACTATATTTGGTAAAACTAGCTGATAAGCTAGCTTAGAGCTTATCAATAATTTTCGAGTTTATAGCAGAAAAACTAGCTTACATGATAAAATTGTTTGGTAAAATTAGCCGATAAGCTAGCTGAAATAAAAATTTCAACATACTTATTTTGAAAAGCTACCCAAATAAAGAAGATTATCAAATAAGTTCGAGCTTTATAAAAAAATCCGTCCTCTCCAACGAGACTTATTTGAATAAAGAGAGTTTATAAGCTAATAATCAAATAAGCTATAAGCTAACCTATTTGTCTACCAAACATAACCTATATAATGTTACAAAAAGTAACCCTACATTAATTTGACTCGGGTAAAAAAAAAATTATTTTTAATGATTGTATTTTTCTTTGCATTGTCATTTTCAGAGAAGGGCGGTTTCAAAATTGATCGAGTCCTACTTAACGTGGAAGCTCCCGTTGGATAAGTACGGGCTGAGGCCCGAACACCCTTTTGTGGAAGACTACGCTTCGTGCCAGATGGCCATATTGCCTGAGAACTTCTTCTCGGAGGCCGACAAGGGCAAAATAGTCATAAAAAGATGTGCTTCAAAGTGGTGGTTTTGGGAGGGAGGAGTCGAGTTGGACGGTGGGGAAAGGCTGGATGCGGATGTGGTGGTTCTTGCAACTGGTTTCGATGGCAAACAGAAGTTGAAAGCAATATTTCCAGACTCATTTCGTGCTCTACTGGACTTTCCTAACAGCATGATGCCCTTGTACAGGTACAAAATGCAATAAAACCGTATATATAACCTAACATAAATTGTTATAACTAACTTGTATAATGTTAAATAAATTTTTGTTATATATCCTATTTAAGTAATTCCGCGAGAAATAGTATAATTATAAAAAAAAAAAAAAAAATATTATGTTTCTTGTACTTTTTAATAAAGTTGATGGGTTTTTTATGTAGATGCTATTTGTACAATTACAAATAGTTTTTAATTAACGTATTGTGAAAATAATTTCTTGTACTTTTTAATAAAGTTGATGGGTTTTTTATGTAGATGCTATTTGTACAATTACAAATAGTTTTTAATTAACGTATTGTGAAAATAAAATCAAT